GTGTGACTAATAATGGAAGCCATTTTATGTTATTATTTAATTGTACTTTTACATCAGCTTCACCCATAATTTTTATTCTTTTATTTCCATATGTAGTTGGTGCTTTAGCCCTTCTAAGTTTTGGCTTTCCGATTTTATTCCAAATTATTTCATTAATAATGGTTATTGCCGAGCCAGTATCATATTCCATTTTAATTTTTTGGTTGTTTAATACCTCAATTATTGGATGTTGCCCATATTTGTATATTTTTCTTATTGAGGCATCCGAATCGTCTTCTTTATTATTGTAATTTGTTCCGTAAATCTTTTCTTTAGCTTTACAACATACGGTGAAGTGGTTTGGTTTCCTACATTTGCTGCACAATTTTCCGAAGGCGGGACAATTTCTAATAGCATGAAACCGATTACAGAAATAGCATGGTTTTATCCAATTACTATTATTATTTGTATGGTAGTTATTATACCCGGTTACATATGCTTTATTATCCTTTTGATAGTGCCGTTTATCATTATTATTATACTGCCGATTATTTTTATCATGCGATTATTATTATGTTTATTCGGCTCTTGGATTTTATATACCATTTTAGCAGTATTATTTATTTCCATCTCTAAAGCCAATTCTACCACTTTATTTAAGCTTAACGGTTGGTCTTCGTCTTTAGTATCTGGATATCTTAATCGTAGTTCTTTATCCAGTTGTGACATCTTTAGTCCTGCGATTAATTGATATCGAATTCTCAGTTCTATATTGTCTTCAAATTCGCATCTTCGGGCTAGCTCCTTTATATTTTTTAAACAGCTCATTACGGATTCAGTAGCCCCGCGACTTAATCTAATAAAATCAATTCTTGATGCCAAAATAGTTCTTTCATCTTTATATAGTTGTTTTGCTATTTTATATATTTCAATCCATCCTACCTCCTCTATATTCCTAGGATAGAGTAATTTCTTGATATCAATTATAATGTTTATTCCTCCATAAGCTATAAATAATTTTTTTAAAGTGGTGTCAGTTTGAGGAATATTTTTCACATTTAGTATATCAACGTACTCCTAGATTGAACAATCTTCCTTTTTAAAGTCCTGGAGAATAATTTTATCAATAATTTCTAAATATATATAATTTTGTTTTATAAACAGAAATTTTTTTTATAATTCTATATATTATTAAACTTGACCGAAACCGCGCGATTTAGATTTTTTTTTATTTCATCGCCATTTTTTATAGTCAAAACAATAGATTCTTTATTATAAAATTGTTTCCTATATATAGTCTTTTATTATTATGTCATTTAACTTCTACTAATATGCAATTACATTGACCTCCATAAGATAATATAAAATGTAAGAAATATATAATTCAAATAGCGTAACCTTTTAAAATATATATAAACATTCAAATATAACACCAACGCTACATTTTTTCCAAACTTGTGGATCTATAGTGTGCAGTGACTCCTATGTATGAACTAAAAATTAACATTTCTTAAAACTGCTCAAATAATTTGTTTGTAATTAAATTATTATACAAATTTAAATGTTAGCTATACCGGCGATAGGCACTCCAAAAATCTGCTGTTGCGCATATTAACTATGGTTCTATGAGACTTTTAATGATTTCTTTCTTTTCATTCTCCCATCTTTATGAAATTCTAACACACTGTCTGTCTGGAAATTATATTTTTTTGTGGAGCTAATTTGATCATTTTTATAAATGATGGATTTCCAACAACTGAAAATGGCTGAATGCTATCAATAATAAAATCAGTTATTAAATCATCTAAAATGGCTTGGGTAATATAAAAAAGCGTTAAATAAAAGTATATCAAAATGTATTTTAAAACAGATACAGATATCTCTAAAATAATATCTATATACAGATACTTTAATCAAAAATCTATCCAGGTACAGATACCATATTTTTATATCTAGATACTTTAACAACTCTGCCAGTTAGCTTCACCTAGAAATTTAAATAATATTTTACTTTTTCTTTTCTAAAATTCATATTTATTTTTAAATAGTAAAATAAATCACCGAACGGAAAACCCACTTGAAAACTGACCACTTCATAAAATCAAACCGATACTGGGTTAGTTCCTGAAAGCCTGATATATGCTAAACAATAACAGTTTTACTTAATTTCACCGAAACTAGAAGAGCTAATAGGTAACTGAGTGGAAGGGTTGTACAATATTTCTGAAATGCAAAATTTAATAAATTATAATATTCTGGAATTAATCATATTTGAAAAAATACATCACAATTCTGTGGCCACGCTACTCGCTTCAATGTTCGGCCACCTTCAATTTTTCTATTTTGTAAATTATATTATCCTCTGTTTATTTATCTCAGCCATCTTATATAATTATTTTTAACCCTTTTCAATCTAAATTACAATTCTAAAGTCCGGGAAGGCAACATCTAATAAAATTCGACTTTTATTGTTCAATATCATTTGAAAGGAATATTTAAGAAAAATATCTAGAATTTAAATTGAGTCATTCAATCGTCAGAAAAGTTTATTAAATTAAAAGCAATTATCTTCGACGTCTAAAATCAACCACAATGAGGGAAAATAGTATGTTAAAAAAATCATATAAAACAATCGGCATTTCAATCAAAATGGTCAATTCTAAATTCAGATAATTATGTTAATACCTGTTTACATATTCATACAATGAGCTAATCTTAGTATAATAATTTGATTAAATTTTTTTATATTTAAGCGAAAAATAAATCTCCATCCTTCTATGATGGAACCCCATGTCTACATCCAAATTCATTAAAAAAAATTACGACTTTAAAATGCCCAAGGTCAAATCCTGACCTAAATCTATTGAAAACACATAGGGGAAACAGGGGTAAGGCGATTGACGGAGTAACTATGTTAACGCGAATAATTTCTTAACTCTTTAGACTTTAAATTTGGTTTGAACATGTATTTTTATATCTAATTTTGCCAAAAAACCGTTTTTTACCCAAAAATTATAAAAATCACCTAATTTTTTTGCTTGTAGCAAAATATATTAAGGCTCAGAATTTAAAAATTTGAATACACTTTTCTTAAAGCCTTAGCTATAAAATAAAATTTATCGAAAGTTTATAGCGTAACTAGAAGTCACGCTATAATGATTTACACAATATATATTGGGGAGTTGCTATGGGTAAAACGGTTAAAATGTTCCATCGGATTTAAGCTGTAAAAAGATCATTAGATATTAATATGTACACTAAAAAATAATTTTGTGCAAGGGACATTAATAAATAGTTTGTTATTTGGAATAAAATTTATGAATAGTCGCTAAGGGGAAGAATAATTAAAATGTACTATGTGCCTAAAATGGGCAAATTCAAAATGTGCGATTTTGGATGTAATTTTTTACATTCCGTATTGTATTGTATAGTTTATACTAAAAATGATGAATAGCTTCCAAAATTGCAATATTTTGTTCAATTAAAGAACAGTTATGTTCAAATTAATTTTAAATTTAAATCATTTTACCTTGGGCATGGGGCAAAATGACACATTTCACATAATTAATCGCGGCTCCTAAAATCTTATAGGTAAATAAATATATTTTTTTTTATTTTGTAGATGAAGAATTTGACTACTTATAAATATATAATTTGTGCGGTTTTGTTAGTTTCAAGATATTATGGTAAAAATGCAAAATACCAATCGTTTTCCCCGGCTTCCCCTAAAATTTAATTAAAAAAGAAGATAAGAAAGAAACTTTAAGAACCAAGCTCTCAAGGAAAATATGGAAATACTTGCAATTCCATTCTATAAATGAATCAAAACTTAGTTTTTATGACTCAAAGAAATTGGCAATCATTAAAGCTAAATGTCGAAGCTCAATTTAACAAGTGGCCGCTTATGAATTTTGAGCGTTTAATTAATTTATTAGGCTCAACATTTTTATTGCTAGCTCTTTTTAAAAAGTAGCGTTTAAAACTCCAGTTATTTATAATATAATTTGCTTTTTATAAATAATACATTATGAATTTTTAACGATAGCGCCTTCTATAATTTTTTATAAGCAAATTATAACTAATAATTAGTAATTTGAGATTAAAACCAAGATGGAGTCAATAATAGACTTTGAAGGCCTATAACTCCGGTTCTACTTGAGCCAAAGCATTGAAATTTTGATTTTTATAGTAATTATGAATGAATGATTATAGTAGACGATCATAATTTATCTTTAAAATTATAGGCAAAATAAAATTATTATTTTACAAAAACTAGGCTGAAAAATAATTGTCTTTCTATTATCTATTACCTCGAAGGGCATCTCTACTTTTTACCTGCCCAGCCAAAATAAAAAAGATTCAAACGTTACGGACATAGAAGATTTCTAAATTTATATTAAAATCTTCGAAATGATAATTTAACCTAGTTATATAAATATATTTAATTTTAACCTTATTTATTCAAAAAAGCATAAGAATTTAAAAAATGACGATTTGTCAAATTTAAACTTACTCAATATAAAATGAAATTTTATTTAATTTATTAAAATAATAAAGATTAAAAATACCACCTGTAAGATCCCTTAAATTTTTTATTCTCATAATCATAAAATGATCTTCACAAATGATTTTTTTTAAAAAAATCACTAAAGATAAAAATTATTAAAAATGTTACGATCACGAAAGATTTAATTTATTATCCCTTAAAACAACTAAATATCTAAATAAGTTTAAAAAAAATTGAAAATATAATATATCTTCAATTTTGTGATATTCATAGTAAGTTTTCGAAAGAAAAGATCTTAAGACCATCAAAGATTTTTTGTTAACATTTGAATAAAACTCACTTTTTCACATGCAGATAAAATTAGGAGTAAGGTGTAAGTACATATTTCATTTGTAAATAAAAGCGAATTCTATCAAAATGTTTTTAACATAATGTTCATAAGATATATCATCATCAAATCTCAAAAATATATTTGTATGTTGTGTTTTAGATATCGGTGACTATATGTTCTTTCATTTCGATCGCTACATTCATCTTTGGTGCAATTTTTGGACTAGAAGAAGTTTCATATAAAGTCGGGGTTGGAGGATGGTTTTTAACCAAATTAAAATAAGTTTATTAAAGCTAATTCTTCTGATATCAAACAAAAATAAAAACTTTCTATTATAAAAAAAGATGAACTATATTGCTCAATCAATGTAAAATTTTATCAGAGGCCGCGTATGTTTAGTTGAAGTTTTATTTTAATTCCTTATAAAGAATTCACTCTTATCTCCGGGGTGGCCTAGTGGGTTATAATATATGCTTGGAAACAGAAAGTCCCAGGTTCAATCCTAGTAAGGAACATAAAAATTTTCAGGTTTTTCTTCGATGACTGATGTGTAAAGACATATGGTAAGATGAATTTCGGAGCTTAGAGATGACACCCCGGTCACCGACAGGCCTTGACAGCTGGGTGCTAAGGATACTGGTCCAATAAACAAAAATGAAGGACATAAATGAAAATATGAAAGCTAGGGCGTTCCATCTAAGCGACGCGCAGGGTGTAGACCTCCATCCTGTGAAAAGTAAAATAAAGGTCAAAGCAAAGAAGACAAGGTTAGCAAGTTTGAATATTGGGACACTTAAAGGTAAGACGAGAGAATTGGCATCAATGTTGAACAAGAGAGTTGATATAGCGTGCATACAAGAGACTAAATGGAAAGGTCAGAAGACTTTAATGATATGGGTATAAATTGTACTATAATGGAATTGTTAGCAATAGGAACGGTGTCGGCATCATCCTCAGTCAAGATCTAACCTCCTCAGTGGTAGAAGTTAATAGGATCTCTGATAGACTAATGAAGATAAAACTCTGCATTGGTCAATCAATACTACACATCCTTTCAGTATATGCTCCTCAAACGGGTTGCAAAGAAGAAGAGAAAGATGACTTTAGAGCTTTTTTTGATGAAGCTGTAATGGAAATTCCTAAGGATGACCTAGTCATAATAGGTTTTGACTTAAATGCGCATGTGGGAAAGGCAAGAGACAGCTATAAAAGGCATGGTGGTTTTGGATATGGAGAAAGAAATGATGAAGGAGAACATGTACTGAAATTTGCGCAAGCCTTCGACCTTGCCTTAACCAACACTTACTATAGGAAAAAGACAGTCATTTAATAACATATGAAAGTGGTACAAGGAAAACACAGATAGATTACATGCTAATCTCTCGCGAAGATTAAAAGATGTAATAGACTGCAAAGTCCACCCAGGAGAAGATATCGCCGCGCAACACAAGCTACTTAGTCATGGTTTTACATATCTCAAATAAATCCACTCAAATAGACACTGCCAAATCGACACTAGGCTTGACAAGGGCAGGCAACAAATCATACAAAGAACTATGGTGGTGGAATGAAGAGGTACAAATCATTATACAGGAGAAAAAAGCCATATATAAAATATGGTACAAATATAAAAACCCAGATGACAATACAAATTACAAAAAATTCAAGAGAATATCTACAAAGGCGGTGGCTAGGGCCATAGCTGTGGCATATGATGACATGTATGAAGATTTACATACCAAAGAAGGGCAAAATAAAATATACAGATTAGCCAAACAGCGAGAAAAGATTTCTAGGGATATAAACGGAGCTCCGAAAGTAATCAAAAATAAAGATGGGAAATTGATAATAAAGGAAAAAGAAATAATAATTAGATGGAAAGAATATTTTCAGGAGCTTCTCAACTTTAATCCCCACATACATCTAGATGAACACTCCCCATGTCAAAACCTTGTACAACCAATAACAAAACAAGAAATAACCACATGCTTCATGCATATGAAAAACAACAAAGCTAGGTGTCCAAATGATATTCCAATAGAAAGCCTTAAAGCACTAACAATAAAATACTGGAAAATGAAGAGATTCCTCAAAAATGGAGGCAGAGCTATCTAGTTTCTATTCTCAAAAATAAAGGGGATCCACACAATTGTCACAATTACAGGGGCATAAAACTAATGTCACACTGTCTTAAACTCTACGAAAAAATAAAGAGACATAATAGAAATAAGAGAGACTCAGTTTGGTTTTATGCCTGGAAGATCAACAACTGATGCAATCCACGCAATTAGTCAAATGAGCGAAAATAACAAAAAGCTACACATGGTCTTTCTCGATCTAGAAAGGCCTTCGATAGAATCCCAAGAAAACTTAACTGGTGAGCGCTACGCCAAAAAAAGGTTCCCGAAAAATATATAAGAATAAAACAGGATATGTATATGGGCCATATAACAATGGTCGGTCAGCTCTCAGCTCACTTCTCCTGATTAGAGTAATAGATGTATTATCACTATACCTCAAACAGTCCAGTGGAATATGATATTTGCAGATATTGTGATACTTGCCGAATCCAAGGATGAAATGAAAGAAAGATTAGTGAGTATGATAAATATCCTAGAAAAGCATGGACTAAAAGTAAATAGAGAAAAGACGGAGTATATGGTGATAGGAGATGAAACAGAGAGCATTATGAATTGCAGATATAGGCAATTCAAAGCTGCAAATATTTGGGCTCCACTATACAAACAAACGGCACAATAGAGAAAGAGTAAAATTAATTAAGGATGGTTAAAGTGGAGATCTTTATCTGGAGTGCTCTTTGACAAAAGAATCCCCCCACACAAATTGAAGGGAAAAATTTACAGTTCCATAGTACAACCAACTATTCTATATAGTTCGGAAACATGGCCAACCAAAGAATCAGACGAGAGAAGTCTACAAACTATGGAGATGAGATTGCTGAGGATGATTGCTGGGGTAACAAGAAAGGATAAAGTGCGCAGTACAAGAATACTAGGTAGTTTAAAGGTAGTGCCCATTAAGACTAAGATAATGGTAAACAGACTTAGGTGGTATGGGCACACAATGAGAAGGCTTATGAACTACATAGGAAATAAGGTTGAGAGTTTGGAAGTGATGGGCAAATGTAAAAGAGGAAGGTCAAAACTTCAATGGGCACATAAAGTTAGAGCCAATATGAAGAAGTATAAATTAGATAGATAGTATATATAACATAAAGTGGAGAGAGATATTGAAGGAGCTTACCACCAGAAAAGGTGAAAGCTAAAGAGAAAAAAAAATAAAGAATTCACTCTTAACATCATTCTTTTTTTTGGTTAAAGTCTTAATTGTAATAAATTTAAAAAGGAAGAAATGTAATCAATAAATAAAAATTTATATCATTTTAATTTTTAAAGTAATTGTTTAAAAATATGTTATTATTATTTGTCTAGATAATCATATTCATATATGTCAGAAAATGACACGTAATAGGAAAAACAAACCCCATACCCAAGGAAAATTGGCCCTCAAAAATATATAAGATTTAAAAGTAATGTCGAATCTATTGATTGATTGAATTGTTTATATAATTTATCAGTGTGAACTGCATTTATTTAATATAATTAAAAAAAATATATATATAACATAACAGCAATTTTTAATATGTAAAATATGAAGACGCTCGCTCTCGGTGGCAAAAAAAGTTCACGCCCTTTCACTAGTGTTATTAAACGGCTCGATTTTTAAAAACGACTCACTCAATATTCTATTCAAAAAAATTATCACGTAAGCCTGTAGATTTTGGTCATTGCCATAAAGGTTTGGACATCTTTTCGCGAAATCTCGAGGTTTAGGCAATATATTTTTGGCTTAAATAATTAGTTAGCCGTTTTTAAAAATCGGCTCCACAAATCGAGCCGTTACAACACTACCTTTCACGTTTGCTGATAAAAATTTTAAACCGAACTCGTCCGCTCACGAAAAAATATATTGGCCCGAAAAATTTATGGTTTTAAATTTTTTCTAAATTTTCAAAACTTTTATGCTACTTTCATGCTTTTTTGAATTTATTCTATTATAATTTTTTATTTCTTTGTTTCCATATTAAACAAAATAATTACCATTAAATCAAAAATTTTTTTAAAAAAAGAAGAATGTCCATATTTTTTTATTTCTATTGTGTTCGTCTTTCCTCTAATAAGGCATTATTGGTAAATGGAAAAATAATATTTCCTTGCGAACTTGCCGAGGCTAATAAAATTTTCTCAAAAAAGGAAATGAATTTTCCTGCTTCCAAAATTTCTATATATTTTCATAGATATTTTTTAACGATGAATCTTTTAAATTCATCCTCATATATTTCATCGGTAGATACGGTTGGCTCAGAATCAGAATAATCTATAAATTCTCTATGTGTTTCATTTAGAATATGCTGTTTTTTATTTCTGCAGGATGAATTGGAAAAGATAAAAATGATTGCATTGTCTTATGCATATCATCCAATTTTAAATAATTTAGCAATTTTCAAGTTGTTTTATATATCTGGCTTATCATCGTCTGTTTAAAACTTACTCTTGAAATAGATTTAGAATTAAGCCTACTTCATGTAGTGGCTTCATATTTCTTTAAAAGAGATATTGTCCTGTTTTTAAGGTTTTGATTTATTAATCTATTACTTCTGAAGTAGGTTATTTTAAAATTCAATCGCTTGTGCGTTTTCTTGTTATTGGCATTGTAAAAAGGATACCAAAAATTAAGGAAATTACTGCCAAATATTGTTACATTATTTCTAATTCTACGAGTATCATTGAGAGTTTTAATGTTTCATTGCAAGATTTCAAGGAAGTTCCCATTAAATTTTATTGGAAATAAATTACCCAAAAGCAAAAAAATGACATGGGCGAATTCAAAAAGTATTAAGGTGGAACAGCCAGAGACGAATTTAAAAGATAAAATTTTATGCGCAATGATTGGAATGCAAAAGATACATGTGGTTATTTCACTACCACCTAATGAAGATAAATTATGTACCTGTCAATAATATTATAGAAATTAATTCCCAAACAGCAACAGGGCGTACTTATATGCTTTATTCACGGATGTTTTCAAAACAAAACTTCAACAAAATGGAGATCAAAGGCAAAATAATATTTCATATTTTATTTAAAATTAAGTACATGTTGTTTTTAATTATATTTAAAAATAATAATAATTACAATTTTTTTAGTTATCGCCACCTATAATTACTTTTTCTATCGATAAAAAATTAAACAACTAAAAAAATAAGTTTTCCAAACCTAATTTTTTTAATATAAATGTATATATATTCAATAAATATAAATTTTTTGAAAATTTTAGCCTCAATCAGAATCAACCTTTGCCTTTTCCGAGGAGAAGAGGGCTATCTATACCAAATATAGGCTTCTATCATTTATATTTTTAATTTTAAGTACTTTATTTTAATCAATTTTTCTAAATTAGGAAGAGGACGCTATTTTTTAACTTTAACCCGCCATATATCCTTGAACTAATTAAGTTAGAAAATTGTAGAGGATCTCACAACATATATTATCATCATGCAAAGTTTCATAAGATTTGAAATAGGTCCACAAAAATTATCTTTTTTAGATCGATTTGTCATGGAATGGCCAAGATAAAAAAAGAGATATATAAAAAGATAGCATAGTAAAGAAGCCACATAAATCTATTTCTTAAATATAACCTCATAGAGTTAAAAGCCCAGGTGTAGCCAGCGGGAATGGAGGGAGAAAGTCGCCCTCCCCCCTCTTAGCAATTTTTTTTTGGAAAAACAAAAGGTTTACATGAATTGTGAATTGCAAAGTATTCTATTTCAAATATGTTATATTGTATTCTTTTTAGGAAAAAGTTAAAATTAAATTAAATATTTATTCCTTGTGTATTAATATTTTATCCCACGAACAGATGGATAAAAAATTCTATATTAATTTATCTCTACTAATAACAATGATTCGTAAAATTTTTGAGTGAATGAAATGTTCAGACATCTAAAGAGACAGAATATTCTAAATAGAATTATTTTTGAGATTTCTTGCGCTAGAAGAAAAACTGCAAAAAGTATACCCGACTAGATTGAACCTCGACAAAGCAGTTACAGCATTTTTGGATCTAGAAGAGCCTATTATGAATGCCTTAAAGAAATATCAAAAATGGCCTGAACAAGATATTTTATCTAAAGCTGATATATTATTACATTTAAAATATATTTTCCCAAATATAAAAAATTACTATTATATTTTTGCAACAATACCAATTAGTACAAGCACATATGAGAGGATCTTTTCTTCATTACCCAGAATATACACCCATCTCAAAAGTATGACATCTTAAAAATCGATTGAATGGGCTAGCTTCAATACAAAGCAAATTGTTTAAAAACTGGCGCAATCGCAAAGAAGATTAAATTATTATTTATAAACGATATTTTGATTAACTTTTTAAATCATTATATGTTTAATTCTATATTTAACTGTGATCTACATATTGGTTTATATAGCTTTAATATTTATTAATAATAATATATTGGCTCATATTTTGTATTTTCCAATATTTAATTATTTGTGTTCTTTGAAATTGTCATTTTTTAAAATATGAATTAATTCTAATAAGCTTCTAATGTCCCAAAAAATATTTTAATAAAAATCACCCCCCCCCCCCACCTTGTAGGAAATTCCTGGCTACGCGCCTATAAAGATTATTAGTCACATTATGCAAATTTCTATTAGAAATTCAATAAAAACTTTGGTAAAATCTCCTAATAGTTTCTACATTTTCGTAAATTGGTCCGGAATAATCAAAACCTTCCCTCTCCCTTGATAGTTGGCTTAATTTCTCTTTAAGTTGAGCCAGGGAAAGAGATCGTTCGAATTTACTTAGAATTTTCGTTTTGTCAAATTTTTGACCCACTTTGACAAGACTAACTTTGCTATAATTGAGAGTATCGTTAATTTCGTTAGACGTTTTATTATTATTTGTTTCAACGCTCGCGTCGTAATATTGATTGAAGTTTGTCGATGTAGATAAATTTTTGAGCGCAGGCATCTGGCATTTTTTAAAATAAGGGAGGCTCCGCTCAGATTCAAAAAGAGCAATGAGTTTACCAACTTTACCTTCTTCGTTGTCATGATTTGAATTGTTATTTTGATTTATTTTGAAGCCAGTTGTTTGATGGCTGACCGAATCTCTACAACATAGTGGTTCTTTCGATTTCGTGAATTCAAAAACATCTTTTTCAATAAAATCCGAATTTTTTTTAAAAATTACTTTCCCGCTGTTAAAGATTTTATTCGCGATCCGCTTATTAAATTTGTCACTGTAATAATGAGTTGTTTCGGTTATTTCCTCGTTTAATCTAGTTTTAGACTTGATACAAAAGTCTAAAGAATCTAACTGGTAGTATAAGTCATTCATGGATAATGACTTTTTGGGTTGCAACTGATTGGCACTGTCTGTCAAATAAGTATCTAAATTTCCCGTGTTACCTAGATGATTAGATTGAGAAGAAAACTTGATATTAACTCTTGGAAATCCTGTCTGATAAAAGGAACATAGATTATTTAACGAGGCGTGTTGTTGGTTATGCGAAACAAAGAACCCTTTCACATGATATCTTTTGTTGCTGCCGTTTAAAAAAAATGAAAGTGATTGAAAATTTATTGTTTACAATTTATTGGAATTTAGAAAACTTGAGTTATAACCTATTCTTAAAATCAAAGGAAATCATGTTAAATAAAATATTTGCTGATTTAAATAAAGTTAATGAAATCCCAGTTTAAATTTTAAAAATTTACACCAAGATTATAAATTTATAAGCGAATTATATTTTATAAGTTACAAAATTTTTTTAAAAATAGGTTTCGTCATAAGCTTTTTCGCAACTTTTATTTTCTACAAATATTTATTATTCAGCTAATAAGTAAATACTGTTATGAAAATATATTTATTTTTAATATATTGAAATATAAAAAATACTTAATCTATTATCAAGTTGCTTGCAAGGAATCACACTATATTAACATGCATCAAAAAATACTTTTGTTTGTACGTAATGCGTAAATACAGGGTTTTCCATTCAAAAAAGGAAAATTCCCAATCAAAAAAGGAAAAGTTTCAATCATAAAAGGAAAAGGTCCAATCAAGGGAAAAAGTTCAACCAAAAAAAGGAAAAGGCCCAATCAAAAAAGGAAAAATGTCAATCAAAAAAGAAAAAGTCCCAAAGGTTTAAGAAAATGCACGATCAAAAAAAGAAAAGGTTCATTCAAAAAAAGAAAAATGTCAAATAAAAAAGGAAAAGGTCCAATTAAAAATGAAAAGTGTCAATCAAATAAGGAAATTTCCCATTCAAAAAAGGAAAATCGTTTTTTTTAAAAAATATTTTTTAAAAAAATTATAAATTCTTTTTCTTGTCGATTTTTCTTAAATTTTCATTATTCCTTCATATTTTATTTCTAACTTTTTACGATTTCTTTACTTTATTTTTCTTTTAAAAATAAGAATTTAAAAATGATTATATTTTATTAATTTATATCGTTTGATATTATAGTTCAAACTTATTTAATTTTAAAAAGGTATATTATAACCAAACGATTAATTTAATTATTCAGTAATTGTAATTAAAAAATTTAATATGTAAAAAATTCTAATATAAAAAATTGTCTGCCATTGAAAAATAAAAATTATAAGTGAAAATTAAAAATAATTATCAAAAAAAATTATCAAAAATGAGAAGAAAAAAAAATTAAGAAAAGATCAGAAAATAAAGATTAAAATGACTTAAAGAGATTGAAAAAGTTAGAAATGTATGTAAAAGATAACAATAGAGGAGAAAAATCATAAAAAGTCAAATTATTGTTATTGTATGATGAAAAAAAAAGAAAGAATTGTTAAAAAATGGTGCAGAGAAGTGAAGAAAAATAACAAGGAAAATTTATAAATTATTTTTAAAAAGAATTATCAAAAATGAGAAAAAAAATAAATTGAGAAAAGATAGTAAGAAAAATAAAAGTTAGAAATAAAATAAGAAGGAATAATAAAAATCGACAAGAAAAAGAATTTATAATTTTTTTAAAAAATATTTAAAAAAATAACGATTTTCCTTATTTGATTGACACTTTTCCTTTCCTTTTGGGAATTTTCCTTTTTTAATTGACACTTTTCCTTTATTAAGTGACTTTTTCCTAAACCTTTGGGACTTTTTTTTGATAGGGCCTTAATCTTTTTTGATTGAACTTCCTTTCATGATTGGCCCTTTTCATTCTTTGATCGCACCTTTTCCTTTTATGATTTAAACTTTTCCCTTTTTGATTGGAATTTCCTTTTTTGGAAAACCTGTAAGATAACTTGTACAATGAAAGAGAGTATTTTAAAAGTTATGGGTTATAAAAAAATAAAATAATGCTATTATATTTTTCTTTTTGTTAAAAATTGCATGGATTTAAATATTCCTTAATTTTACATTGTCTTCAAATTTTCATTCTAAAAATCAGGACTATTATCCTTAAATGAACAAAAGAAACAATTTAATATCACTTATTTTTTTATAAAAACTAGAAACTATATTAAGAGATATTAAAATTTTTTGGCTCTTGATAATAGATAAATTAAAATTCTGATCATTATCAAAAAAGATAATACGGAACCTATCAAGTATCAAGAGGAGTAAATTACTAATTTTAGTATTGCTGATTCTACTACTTTTAGCACACATGGAAAATACAATTGACTTTTTTCAATAATTATAAGAATACTAAATTTCTCATCATAATTTATTTATTATTTGAAATTTTTAAAATATATTTATTTAATTACCCAGCTTAATAATAGAAAATAAATCAAATTGCTTTTATTCATCCATATTTGTAATAAATAAATAATTAGGAAAAATCGCTTCTTGGGGGGACTAAAAAAATTATTCTAAGGGGGAATCGGGAGCTTTACCTTTCGAAAATTTTATAATGATTTAAATAAGAAACCTTTTATTGTTTACCTTAATTTAATCTGTTTATTTGTGGTCTCTATTATTTGTTAATTGTTATTAATTTTATCATAAATAAACTGAAATGTATTGATCCAATATTTCGTATTAAGAATTTCGAAGGAAAACTCATAAAAAGTAAATGGGCTAAACAAATAAAAAATAATCTGGCAAAGATTCAAAATAAATGGGTAACGTATTCTTAATTAAAAAAAATTAAACTACGATGTTTTATATAACAGTATACAGCGAAATGTAAGAGGATTTCAACTTATGAATTAAGAATGATTGATAATAAATGTTCAATAATATATTAAAAAAGCTAAAGCTAAAAGGGTAATTCCATACCAAATCGATAACTTTTCGGCCCGACCTTTTTAATTTCGATAAAATTTTGTATACTGAGAGAATATCATTTGAAAGCCTCGAATCCAAAATTTTAGCTTCCTAGTACTCATAGTTCCAGAGATATCAATGGTCAAAAATGCCAAAAATGACCTTTTTTCAAAAAATACGATTTTTTGAAATTGAGATAAGTTAAAAAATAATGATTTTAAAAATATAAGTTATATGTCATTTTGTAACTCTGTTAAAGGTCTTTTATTAAATATTAAAGATTTTTTTGAAATAATATTGTTGCGGTTTTTATTTACGTTATAAATTTTAAACATAAAAATTCCAGGTGTTTTGCTTTCCAAATTTTTTTGAATTTAATATTTTCTTATTCTCTAACCTTATATCTATTCATAAAAAAATTTAAACTTGGGACAGTTATGGGTATTTTATTTATTACGATTTAAAAAATCAAAAAATAAATATTTTTTTCAAAAATAGATGGCGCTCCTTTATATAAAAACGTGTTTTGTTAGAATTATTATTTTTTAAAACTTTTTTCACTTTTAAACATAAATAATAAGATTTTCCAGCATTACTATCAGGAAAAATATTATATAGATCGTTTGATAGGCTTACTTATTATTAGAGATTTGCAAAGTTAGGCCCGGCCCGGACGGGCTTTGGGTATAATTCTATTTAAATAATCAAGTTCGGGCCGGGCTAATATTTTGAAAAAAAATTCGAGCCGGGTCGGGTCGGACCTTGGAAACTTTCTTAAATAATATAAATTTATCAATTTTGTATTGAATTTTTTATGTAAAATAAAAATATTTGATTTTATTTATTGAAACTAAACGACATATAACATATGTCTTTTATTTTGAGTAATTATAAAAATTAATTTCTATATTTATATAAATTCGGGCTGGGCCCTGGCTTGAAAAATTAGGCTCGATGCAGATCACTACTTATTATTATTGCTATATTGATAACTTGTAAAAATTAGTTTTTAATAAATGATTAAATTACCTAAAAAGATAGTTAAGATTCCGATATCTCATACAAGAAAATATAATAATTAATTGTTGAAAGATAAAAGCTAGTTTTCATATACCTGCCCTAATATTAATTAATTTTTATTTTACAAATATTTTGATATTAATTATTTTTCTTCTTAAAATTATTTATAATGTATAAATATAAATGCGTAAATCCTTTTAAAAGAATCTAAACACTTTAATTATAAAAAGAACCTGCGCAAAGTCATGACGTGATGTCACAATATCCAAACATTGAGGCTGAACATTATATTTGTGATAAATGCGGTAAAAGGTTATCCCAAAAAAATATCGAAAATATAAATTCTGATAGTGAATATGTAAATAACAGCATCAACATCAATAGATAAAATCAATATAACTTTAAATGAAATAGGAATATCTCCTATTAAGAAAAAAAAACTAACCGAAAAAAATTATCCAAAAAAAGGCAGCAAAATTAACAAAAGCGATTACAGATATAATAATTAACAATCCAGATTCGGATACGAAAGATAATAATGATATACTCAATAACATGAAATTACAATATCCCAATTTGCTGACCATTCTGCCTCCTAATTGGAGCGCAAATAAAATAAAAACGACATTCAACGCTACATATCATATGGCATATAATTCCAAAATCATTTTAAAAGAAAAGGGGAGTCTTTCAACTCCAAATCGAAAGCCTGCAAAATATCTCAATCAAAAAACAGTTGATATTGTTTAAAAATTTTTTTGCATTGATAAAGTTAGTGGGTATTACCAGGAAAAAAAGATTGCATATTTTTCATTGAAAAGGGGGAACGAGTGAACGCTCAAAAAAGGTTAGTTCTTAATAATTTGAAAGAATTATAGAATCATTTTAAGGCGAGTAATTCAAACTTAACAATTGGATTTTCGAAATTTGCTAGCTTAAGACCAAAAAAGCGAAACACATAGTGTATGCGTTTGTAGCATACATCAGAATATTAAACTTATGATTTTAAGCTGAGAATTAGCAACATTGACTAAAAATGTTGAGGATACATTAACAACTTATAGAGATGTTATAGGCAGAATGATTTGCAATCCCCCGTTACCCACCTGTTATTTTGCTGACTGCAACGAATGTCAATATATCCACGTGAAGATATTTGATTGAGGATCTGATAATTGATGAGATTAGAGGATATGTAACATGTGCATATGAAAACGATTGGTGGTTAGGATTTGTACAAGAAGTAAATGTAATTAGAGATGAAGTAATAATTAATTTTCTTCACCCTA